CACACAGACAAGAAGCTGAGAACGGCTTGATTTGAGAAAGGGGTAATGATTTTAGTAGATTAAAAAAACACTGGGTGGATTTTTATCATTATAGGGTGGTTGTGTACACACATTGCCAACACACATTTATGTTCAAACAACATGTAAAAGTGCATATTGTATCCGATGACCCCTTTAAGAAATAAAATTCTCTACAATAAATATGTTCTCATCATTATTAGTAACAGAAAATGCTACTTTAAATACAAGTATGTCACTTTTGTGATTTTTGTCATGTTCTGATTAGCCAATGTACATACATCAAAACAAGATTTTAAAGTTCACATTGAAATTGGAATTGAAAAGATTTACTTAAAAAAAAAAAAAAAAACTTGAACTTGTCTTTTGTGGCAGCTAAAATATTGAAAGCTTCCACTTCAATGTTTAATACCACAGATGTTCACTGCCAAATGGTTGATACTCATTTTTGGTCATAACCGCAGTTTAAAACCATATTAAATATGTCTGCATAGAGCAAATATAATAGATAAACTACTGCTCTTTCACATTACCACAGAACTGCTGGCCATGTCAACGTGGTTTTTTTTTAATGAGTGAAGTTGTAAGAAATAACATGAATAGTAAAATCCGTACCCTCAATCTTATCCACATAGCAGAACACGTCAAAGGTCTCTGTGGGCTTGCGTTTGCCATACGACCTGACACCAGGTTTTCCAGGCAGATTTCCAAAGCAGCCGGGCCTTGGTCTAGTGATTGGATATCTACAGATAGAAACAATCCACACAGACAGAAAAGTTTCTCATGACTAAAAAAGTAGTACAAGTAGTACAGCCTTTGCAATTTCCTTTTTATATCAACATGTTGACATGTTGTTTAAAATTTATTACTGAGTTTGCCAGTAGAGGACATAGAAATACAGACTGTTTGTTTGTGTTTGTGTGTGTGTGTGTGTGTGTGTGTGTTGCTTCTAACCTCACTGTTTGATCTGCTATCCAACCAGCATCACACTGGTCAAATCCATCCTCATAAGCAGCTCTCAGCTGTTCTGCTGTAGCAATGGTGGCTCCAACGTTGCTGCAGGTCTGCACAGCTTGTGCATAGTTCAGAATGTATCTGCTGACCTTTGACCTGTAGTGAAACACCACGCCTGTTCAAAAGAGCAAATAAAACAAACAAAAATGAACATGTCGTAACACAGTCCATTCCATCCATTAACATTTTCATTAAATGGGGGCATATTGTATTACTATCATTGTTGTCAGTGACCACAATAAATATGAAGCCTAATAGAAACAGCTTTATTCTTGATGATGTCTACAAGTTGCTTATAAACAAATTAATATAGCAAGCAGTGTTGGGACATTCATTTGAATGAGGGGACATTCCATCCACCCCCTTAATTGTCGCTTTGAAACCAATTCAAATTAAATGAGTAATGGATCTAATTAAAATGGCAGTGTGTCTTTGCTGAGAGCAGGGTGGTGCTGCAAATCTAGAGCCAAAGCAGTTCAGGGTTGACCCATCCCATCTTTTCACATGGCCTGAGCATAAATCAGCCCATACAAGATGTGTCCCGGCATCAGAGTATATCCAAGCAGAGGGAATACATTAAGAGAGGCAAAGTTTATTGGAGTGCATTTGACTTTTTACACTGTAACTGTAATCTGGGAGAGTCCAAAACAACCTTAAAATCCCTCAACAATTTAGATAATCTGTGCTTGCGGGTTTTCTCCCACAAACAGTTCGACTTAACAGACTGAACTTTCATTTATCTATAATTTACTTGGGTTATGACTGTCACTGATCAATTCGCTTTAAGGAATTTACCATATTGGCAGCATATGTGCTTCAGATACAACAATCTCTAAAAAGATTAGACAAATTTGAGAGAATAGGAGACAGATAATATGTTTTAAAAAATCTCACCCTCAACATTCAAACTGACTGTGTCTTGTGTGTCTTCAATCCCAAACATCACTTCACAGCGGTATGTTCCAGCATCACTGGCCCGGAGCTTCACCATAGTCAGAGAAGCATCCCCAATGTCTTCCGGGTGACTCTGCACAGATACACGGCTTCTGTATCCCGAACCGATCTTAATGACGCCGTTTTGGGTTACAAGAACAGTCGACTCAACACCGCCCTCAATTTTGGTCCATTTGATGCGCAGGTAATCTGTTCCTGAGGCATTTCTGTTTCTAGGTCCAACAGTGGGGATGATGGAGAAGTAACACGGAAGGGTCACTTTCCCAGACAACAAGCCGCTGACGGGACGCATCACCAATAACGTGCTAGAGACTGAGAGAATGAAAGGCATGAGGCATTATACACACAGCTGCATCCACCGCAAAGCACAGGAAATCATGCCTTACTGTGTTTATGATAATTGAGCTAAGAATTATTTTACTGCCTCTGTGAAGCCTACGGGTGAGCAAACCAGAAACTACTTTCCTGTAGAAGGACAGATAAACTTGAAGGGGGGACGTTGAAAGGATCATAACTGACAGAAAATCACCATATACTCAGACCAACAATGTGAGAAATGCTTTGGACAGGTGGGATCACCCCTGAGGGTAGCACACCACCATGTGAGAGCATGGCCTCTCGGAGTGATGAAGTCAAGCCATCTGTTTGCACCAGACTACAAGATCCTAATTAAAAGGTATAGGTGCCTGGAAGTAAACCATTAGAGGCAAATGGGGGACAATAGATTGTGGGAATGAGAGATTAAGTTCTTCTTCATTATAGTTTGATCGGTTTAGAAGAAGCATTGAAGTTAATTTTACAAATAAGTTGATTTTTGTTGTATGAAATGAAATCAGAAAAAGAGCACGGAACAGAAAAACATGTATACATTCACATGGATGTGTAGCTTAGACTCATGCAAACACCAGTCTTAGATTAACGAATCAAATTTACACCCTTACATTCAGAAAATCTCGAACATGTAGAGATGTATTACCAGACAACACTTTAATATAGATTAAGGCTGCACGATCAATCGCATGCGATATTTAACGCGCATTTTGTCAGAAAGCCGGTTCTTTAATCAGCGGTAAATCTCCATCACCTGCGGGCTTTCACATTGAGCAGCATTAACTAAACAGAGCCGTTGTTCACTGATGAGCTGCGCAAAAAATCGCGCGAATATGAACGTGGTTTGGCGCAGCTCGTCAGTGAACAACGGCTCTAGTTAGTTAATGCTGCTCAATGTGAAAGCCCGCAGGTGATGGAGATTTACCGCTGATTACAGAACCGGCTTTCTGACAAGATGCGCGTTGAATATCGCATGCGATTTATCGTGCAGCCCTAATATAGATGCTGTTAAAATAAGTAAATAAATAAAAAGCTTACCAGGTTCAGTCGTTGTTTGGTATATGCAGATCAACCACAATATGTGTTTTATATTTAGCAACATCTTCCTGTCTAGGAGGTGAAAAGAAGAATAAATGAATTATTGATTTGACAAGTCATTTCAATCTAGCTGGATACCTTGCTGAATCACATTTGCTAGCTATTAAAAGACTCACGTACGCTGAACGGCTTTACTCATCTGACTGAGGCGATGTGGTGGTCATACAAACTGTTTCCTCTCAGAGGGTGGCGGAATTGAGTATTCAGTTGCTATAATCCCCTGCGGGGGGTGAGGCACAAACTTTTGCCACCGCCACACTACAAAACTGGGGCTCACGAGACTACCCACTGACCGACCATATGAGAATAAAAAGTGTACGTCAGTGTAGTGGGCTAACCTAAAACTTATGTGCGGTCTTTCGCTACTGTGGCAGGTAAACCTACGTGACATGTAGGCCTACGTGAAAATTAAGATTTCTTTGTTTCTTTCTTCGTATTATTTCATGAATTTGTTACGTTTTCCATTTTTTATTCCGTGCCTCATACAGTATGAAAAAATCAGCTCCTTTAAAATAACCTAAGTCAGTTATTTTAAGTTTAATTGCCGCCTCAAAACGTTTAAGGAAAAATCAAAGTGGTGAAAACGTGCAGTGATGAGGTCATCACACAAAAATAGATGGAGGCAAATGCTACAGTGAGTGCACGAACACTGCAGCAATATATCTAAAAAATATTTTCATAAAAAAAAAAAAAGATAAAAGAACGGATACGAACGTGGTGTTAAAATAATCCTTACTAGCCTAAACTGTATCTACTTAGAAACGTTTCCAAAGAATCTGACACATTCATGCATTAGAATTCTTATTATCATCCAAGAAGTCGTCTGAGATCTCACATCATCACTTTTCATTCACGCACGCGCTACAAATGTCCAATGTCCAAATGCGCACTCTAGTATTTCTCTCCTGTACTTCTATTGGAACTTCATCATCACTCTGTAATATTTAGATTCCCCAGTCAGTATAGATCATATAATAATATAATAATATGAATATCAGATAGATATTCAGAACTGTCTTGCCCTAGATTCCCTAAACTGAGCTGGAGCCTATTAAAAGTCACGCCCAATGATGTAAAGTCAGCGTCAGAGATGTGAAGGATTGTTAACGAGTCTTTGGCACTACTTTATCAGTTCACTCGTTCTCTTTGGATAATTCTACTTCTGTACTGAGTGAGGTCATGGGAACTTTTAATACTTCCATGTGACTCAGGTTAAAATAGTTTTGAACATTATTTAGGATTCTCCATATTGTAAAAATACTATAAAATAATAACATCCGTTATGCATCCGTATAAATTATGCATCCGTACAAATTGCAATTAATCACTGAATCACTAAGCTTTGACTGACAACAATAACATACAGAGAACAGTACAAAATAATGAATGAAATACTGTACCTTTCCTGAAAGTTATAATTCCAACCGAAAATAAATGTTACTTAATCCCAGTTCACAGTGAGTCCACATGAAACCTTCATACGTGTTCTTATACCAGGAGGGGGGAAAAGTGTGTTCTCCTCCTCAATTTGATCAATCTCCCTGGACCGTATGTCGCTTGCTGTGGTCCGGACACAAAATGTGAATGCTAACAGCAAATTCAAATCCATTTTACACCCTAAATAGCTTCGTCAGGCATTTAGAGGAGGGGCTCACTGCCCACCCGAAAAAGTGAGTGGACACGAAGCAAAGGGGAGGTGCGGGGAAAGTGACTGGGATACACGTCACAGGTGCCCCGACTAAACAAGGACACACACACACACAATGCAAGCGCAGAACATTTACATGTAAATAGGAGAGAATTACATTCATAAGAGAGCGTCACTTTGCTCAGAAGTTCAGAGCACTTAGGCTAAGTGAATTGTTAATATAGCAGTTGAATTTATATGTAATGATGTTGTAGCAAATAATACTTTCGCCTCAAATATAACATCATTGTATATTAATTTATTTTGGATCAAGTTTAACTTTTGAACCGTCTATTATTGAGGCTCCTGCTAAAAACTAACAAGCAAACAATGTCCATTAGGTTTAAATCCCAGGTCTCAAATTACCTTAATTTTCATAATTAATCACGATCACGTGATCATAAACAGCAAAATTACTAGAGACGAATAAACGGATAAAGTCTTAAATCTGGCAAGACACTTTCTCAAAGTCATAAATTTATTTCCACATTAACACTTTATTACAAGCCACGAATTATTCCCGTATTAATTTAATCTCAGTTATTTGGTGGATCACATGCATCAGACAGTTGCATCTCCACACGGAGGGAGACCGCACTACTTACAGCATAGAATAGATTAGGGATGTAACGGTATGAACATTTCTTATCACGATTATAGAACCTTCAGAGGTACATTCATATAATTAATTCATTCATATATGAATTTGTATAATTCCCTTAACACTCTTTTAAAACCTCCCAGCTTTTCCGCCCTGTTTTCACTCAAAACGAAATTACTCTGCTCCTGTGCGCACGTGAGACTGTTACTTAAAACTGTGCTTTATGCTGGACAGTATTTATTTATCGTGAGTTGTTC